TTTTGTTTTTCAGTTACTTCAGCTTGAAAAATGCAGAGCGAATGCTTCCCTTTTTAGTCTCCAATCCCAGTTCTCTGCACATTCCATTATAATACTTTGCTTTGTCCTCCCGAGCTGCCCTTTCAAACCGTCTGTTCAGCTCTTTTACTTCAACATGTTTTCCTTTAGATTTGGCTTCCCAACGAAATATGTCTATCTGTGTTTTATTGACTATGCAAAGGCATTTAACTGTGTAGATCATAACAAATTTTGGCTAAAATTGAGAAGAAAGTGTGCCCAGTATATTTAATTGTGCTCATGCTACACATGTATACAGACCAAGAAGCTATTGTTGTGATAGAACAAGGGAACGCTGCATTGTTTAAAATTTTAGAAAGGTATGTATCTATATCTTTTTACTCCATACCTATTCAGCTTGTATGCTGAGCAAATCATTCAAGAACATGGAATTAATGAAGAAAACATGGCTCATAAGAAAACTCATTAACAACAGCCTTAGGCATATGACACAGCTTTTCTTGCTGAAAGTGAGGAGGGCTTGAAGTGCCTACTGCAGAAGAACAAAGACTACAGCCTTTAATATAGATTACATCTCAGCATCAAGAAAACCGAAATCGCCACCACGGGCAACAACCTGATAGATGGAGAAAAGATAGAAATTCTCAATGTTTCATCTAACTTTGATCTACAATCAACACCGTGGGACCAGCAGTCAAGAAATCAAAAGAGGTGTTGCACGGAGAAAATCTGCTGACAAAGACTTCTTTAAAGTGGTAAAGAGCAATGTCAGTTTAAAGATTAAGGTGCACCTGATCCAAGCCGTAGTCTTTTCAGTTACTTGCTGTGCATCTGAAAGTTGGACAGTGAAAGTTCTAATAATGATGTCAGAAGAAGAATAGATGCCTTTGAGTTGTAGTGTTGGAGAATAATACTATCTCATGGACTGCCAAAAGACTCATCTGTCTTAGAGAAAGTACGACCCAACATATTCCTTAGAGGCAAGGAGGGTGAAACTTTGTCTCACATAATTCGGGCAGGATTTTAGGAGAGGCTAGTCCTTGGAGAAAGACATTATGTTTAAAAAGCTGGAGAATAGGTGAGCTCTGGTGGCCTAGTGGCAAGAAGCTGCACTGCACTCCCAGAGATGCGTGGTTCAAATCCACCAGATGCTCTGCTGAAGGAGGAATAATCACCTCCTGAACCAGTCAGATCTGATTTGACAGTACACACATAAAAAAAATAATAAAATTTAAAAAAAAATTTTTAAAACCCGGAAAATAAGAGAGGAAGATCTTCAAGAAGATGGGTTGGCACAGTTACTGTAACAGGGGGCTTAAGTATATCGGAGATAATGAGAATGATAAAGATTCAGATCCACTGGTCATAGGCTCACTGTGAGTCTCAGTTGACTCAAGGGCACATAACGACATAGTTTGGATTTATGCCACCTTAATTTCAATAGTATACATAAACTGCTCCAGGGAAGCTACTTTCTTGATTCCTTCCCTGCTTTGTTCTTTTTGTCAGCAAAATAGAATTTTTACTCATTGTAAGCTCATCTGTACAGTTTTATAATTTTTTCTTCTGTAGTTACCATTTAACACAGATTAAAAAAAGAAATTTGCAAAAATATATACTACCTTCTGTATTTACCTAGCTAGCTTCAGTGATTCATTTTATTCCTTATGATTCAAATTACTGTTAGTGCCCTTTTATTTGTCTGAACAATTCCTATTAGTGTTTCTTATAAGGAAACATTTTAGCATAACTTGATATAATGAAAGATTAGCAACAGTTTTCTTTTAGCTTTCTGTTAACCTGGCAGTATCTCACTATCTCCTCCCTTTTTTTAAGGATAGTTTGTTGTGTTGTTTTTAATATAGAATTCTTGCTTAACATTCTTTTTCTGTCATCACTTTGAAATAACTTTTCCATTGCCCTCAGCCTCCATGACTTTAGAGGGCAAGTCGCTTGTTCATTTCATTGAGAACTCTATGTACATGAGCCTCTTGCTGCTTGCAGAATTCTCTTCATGTCTTTGTCTTTCAACAGTTATGCTATGATGTGCCTTTTGTGGATTTCTTTGGATTTATCATACTTGGAGTTCATTGCACTTCTTCAACATGTAGAACAATGTTTTTTCATCATACTTGGGAAGATTTGGGCCATTATTCTTGAAATTTCTTTCTGTTCCTTTTCCTTCTCTTCTTTCTGTCTGTCTTCTTTCTAACTACACTTGATAGTTTGTAAGGTGTCTGAGGCTCTGTTCAATGTTCTTCATTCAGTATTTTCTTTCTGTTCCCCAGACTGCACAGTCTCAATTGAACAGACTTCATATTTGCTTCTTTTTATGCCAACTCAAATCTGTTACTGAGCCCCTTAAGTGATTTTTTTAAATTTCAAAATAAGTATGGTTTTTTTCCCTCTGTAAGAGTTCCTTTAGTTTGTTTTTCATTTATCTTGTTTCTATTTTATATTCTGTATTTAGTAAGATATTGTCATATTTTAACTCTTTAGACATAATTTCTTTAGTTCTCTTAAATGTTACTTATAATAGCTGATTTAACCTTTATATAATCTGTTAGGTTCCTGTGACTGATGTTACAAATTAGTGCCAATTTGATGGCTGCAAACAGCACATCTTTATACTCTTACAGTTGTGATGGCCAGAAGTCCAAAATCCATTGCACTGGACCAAAATAAAAATACTGGCAGGCTTGTACTCCTAGATTCTCAAAGAACATTGTTTCTTGCCTCTTCCAGCTTCTGGCACTGCTTGGCTTATGGCCACATCACTCCAATCTCTGCCTCCTTGGTTTCATTACTTCTTCCTTTTGGTCATAACACCAGCATACTTTGTGCTGCAATATCACTGCTAAGTTATTTGCAAAGGACCAGCAGACCACTGTATTCTCCTTTTCCTTTGTTTCCCAGCAGCTTAAACAGGGCCATTTTGTTTATGGGTTTACAACATAAGTTAAACAGTCAACTACTTAAATTCTATTTTTTAACTTAAGATAGAACTCTAAACTTTTCCAGAAAACTATCATGAATATGGATATGAATATGAATATGAATATGAATATGAATATGAATAAATTAAAGGACCAAGTCCTGAAGTATACTACCCTTTATATATATGTACATAATTACTAAAGAGGAATTATGGCCTTTTACCTACTTTTCTCAGTATGAGTAAAATTTTAATTTATTTCATACCCCCTCTTTTTGAAAACACCGGGAAGATCTCTGCAGAATACAAAATCTATTTCATTCCATATGTCCAAATAAAAAGCTCATCCAAGGAAAATACTTGACTTCATGGAGAGACATGGTGGTAGCTTTTTGCATATCACCAAAGCTAAGCTTTAAGGCGAGAATGGAGGGGAAGCAGTCCTTTTCCCCACATGTCCCCGGTTATGTTCCATGTTTTCATTCTTCTCCCCCAGTTCAGTAAAGAAGGTGGAAAAAAAAAAAAACAAAACATAAAACGGCTCCTGCTTCTTCATGCCAAAAAAGTCTCTTGTTTTATTAGTTCTAATGAGAATGTGTTTTGCTTGATGATTGGAAGCAACTCTAATCCACTTGCTTACATCCAGAGTTACTGGTTTTGTCTGATAGCTGTTTGTTTACAGCAGCAGTTAGCAATTTGCATGGACAGAGCTGTCAAAGCCATTGCCCTCAATGAAACACAAATGCCTCTTGGAAGAAAGATGACAGATTTTGCCCAGCGACTTGCAAAACTTTGAAAGCATTCCCTTGTCAAACACGTGAAAAACAACTCTTCCCTCTCTGTGACTTGAGGGAAAGAATGAGAAACTCCTCTGCCAGATGGCGATTGCTTGCTAGTGAAATAGGCCTGGGCTCACTCAGCCCCGTGTCTTTGTGTTCCATTTGCAGAACCCACAAAAACACATTTGGGGCCACTTTACAGAGTTGGCAACGATCTCTGCTTTTTAAGGAAATTATGTGGACACACAAAGCTGCAATTGATGAAGGGTTAGAAATCTCCAGAGTCCAGGGATGGGATATAAGGCCTTACATTTCTAGGTCATCAGTTAGAATTTGGCCTGGGCCCAAGAGGCATCCCAATTGTTGCCAGATTTGATTACTTGATTACATTTGTTGAAGACAGAAACAAATTGGGAAAAGTTTTTATATTTTCTTACTGACCAGACCTCTTTTTTTTTTTAATAAAAGGTTTTGTTAGATTTAGTAAGAACCTTAAAGCTATAAAAACATCTTTTGAGCTAGTGAGATAATGAAGTAATTTCTAAATTTCAATTAAATTTCACTTTTTAGCTACACAGCAGCTGTGGTGGCATAGTGTGTTACAGGTTGGGCTGCTAAGCAGAAGGTTGGTGGTTCAAATGTACTAAGTACTATGAGAAAAAGATAGTTTCATCTCATGAAGATTTCCAGCCTTGGAAAGCCAATAGAGGGTCACTGTGAGTAGGAATCAACTTGTTGGCAGTGGGTTATTAAAATATAAACTGTTTACTCTTTCCTTTTGAGTACAGCACTTTATCATGCATTAATGTGTGATATCAGTTTTCACTTACTTAAAAAAGAGTTGGAATAGAGAAAGGAAGTTGGCATAAGTGAAGAGTGAGAGTGTGTGTGTGTGTGTGTGTGTGTGTAATCTTAATAACCTAATTTTTTTAAAAGATGGGATAGTTGCCACAGAACATAACAAAACTCTCTCGCTAAAGACAGTGAACTAGAGACTGGCTGATTACTTTCTAGGGAGGTTGTGGAAACAATTTAAACTTAAGACTAGTAATTGGTTTAGTGAATTGACGATTTCCTCAATAACCTGTGAAATGTTATATATGCATCATTAATCTGAAAGAAATTCTTTCCTGCTGTCTTTTTTTTAATTACCTTAATTTAGGAGCCATTTTATAGCCATTTCTGGTAATATCTGTTGTCTGTCTAGTTTTGTCTCATATGCATGAAACAATGACTTGTTTCAGTTTGTTTCCATCTTACTTCTATAGGTATCTGAACATACACAGTTAAGTTGGATTCTTGCCTGCATGGTCAGACTGCCCCGATTGCAACACTTACACCAGTGGAAGGTGAGTGCCGGGGGCTGATCGATAAACAGAAAGGAACACAAGTTCCTCATCACAGCCATGTTCTTTTTCGTGTTTCTTTTTGTGTGAGGCCCTGGGGATCTTGAGCTTAGTGTCTTTGCTATTGACTAATGGCCTAGACAAGTGTGTTTTAATCGCTTTGCTTGGGGCTTGAGACAGTGTAAAAGGGTTCTCCTTGGTCCTTTCCAACTTAAAAAAATCTACTTGTTTTGATCTACGTGGGGTTGAATCAGATTACTACTGGATAGATAGACTTGTTAAAGTAATTTAATCTACCACAAGAAAGTAAACAAACAGTCCCAGTTTCTGTTTCTGAACATGGAAGAAATCAGCCCTCCTTAGAAATCTGGTGGTCCCCCACTCCAGGGAGGTCACTGTATTGAGTCCAAGCTTAGTACAGATACTCAGTTGACAGAGCTTACTACAGCCGAGAACTCCTAGACTCAAGCAGTCCTCCAACCGCAGCTTCTTAAGTAGCTGGGATTATACACATGCACCCCCATGCCTGGCAATCCCCAATTTCTGGATTACTGCACCCTGAGGTTGCCTCTATCTCCACTAGAATTAACTGGCAGTGAAGCAAGAATCTTCTTATTGTGGGAAGGGACAGCATGTTTCATTTAACATTTAAACAAGTCGAGTCTAGGCAACAGTTCAAACCCACAGTAAAATTAAGATTGTGCCTTTTGTAGGAAAGTCAACTGAGAACGATAAATTGGATAATGCATAATGCTTTATTTCTTCCATTTATTTTTGCAATTGGATAATCTAGGGGTAGGTAGTCCTTAACTATGTCAGTACTGATTTTAGTTTCAAGCTTATTTCAAACGTATTTTCAGTCCCACTGGTTTCCTCAAAAGCTTCTGAAGTTGCTCTTTGAGCTTGGAACTGAGCTCATCCCTCTGCCACATCTTGCAGCCAAACAACAGACAGATAGATCTGTAGGGTAAACACACCGGGGAGGTACTCAGCCATTAGAACACTCAACCACATGGACCACAAGGGCAGCCTTTGCCCAGGGATAAACCTCAGAAGATGAGAAGGGAGAGGATGGAGGGTTAAGTGGAAAAAGAACCACAGAGGGATAATAGCAAGAGTGGTGATACAATGTGGGGATTGTGATCATCAGTGTCATAAAACAAAATACATGTTAATGGTTGAGTGGGATACCAACATGCTCTGGAAACTTTCACCCAAAATCACAGTAAAACGGTGGAGCAGAGGGAAGCTTCACAAGCCCTTGCATATGCTGTAGAGATAAACTTAATGTCAAAGTGGCAATGGAGAAGTGAGAGGTTTTGGTAATGCCGCAGACTCACTGTTGTTGTTGTGTGCTGTCAAGTAGGAACTGACTCATCGCTGACCCTCCATTAAGTTTTCAGAAGCAGTGAATCACATGGAAGGAAATTGTCCATCGTTCTCCCAGAAAAAAATTGGTGGATTCCAATTGCCTGCCTTTGGATTGGTAGCGCAACTCCATTCCTTACCACCAAGACACCAGAGCTGTCTTGCAGTGTCATTAATTGCCAGGAATTAAGAAAAAAAATTTTATATTGCTCTCTGCTGTATTTTAATTTTAGGGAAGACTTTCTTTTTTATCGTAATACTTTAACATTAAGTTCAATGCTGAAATCTTTTCCTATAGGAAGTGAGTATAGGCATACCTTTTTTTCTTGTTTTAAACAAGCTGAAGATTTGTGGTAGCCCTTTATCATACAAGTGTTGCCAGTGACCTTTTTCCGGCAGCATGTACTCACTTCGTGTCTCAGTAGTTCACTTTGGTAATTCTTGAAAAAAATTCAAACTTTTTGGTAGGTAATGCTGTTGTGCATTCAGTTGACTACAGTATAGTGTAAATATGACTTTTATATTCACTTCATGTGACTTGTTTTATTGTCATATTCACTTTATAGGAGTGATCAGGGTCAAACCTCAATATTCTAAGTGTACCTGTACTAATTGAATGAGAATACTTGCCACGTCATGAGATAAAGACAAGGCAATTTCCTTAAAAAAAAAAAAATTTAAATGAATCACCTCAGAAACCTGACAAGAGTGTTACTGTGAGTTGAAATCAACTGAACTCCATACCAGTTCTATGGAGTTTCTTTACAGTGTTCTTGATTTTTGGAATCCCATTTTAAGTGGTGTTTCAGGACTTCCTGATGACACCTTACTAATGAATGTGCTGATATTCTGGAGAAAACTTTCCACTGATCTATGACAATGTTTATGGGGAAAGCATGGGCTCAAATTTGAGTCCATTGTTTGAGTAAGTTATGCCTTGTAGGGTGATTCCTTCATTAATAAATATTAATGATGCTTTCATGGAGTCTAACATCATAGGAGATGCCAGATTCCAAACAGTAAGTTAGAGGCAGTTCCAATGAGGCTTGTGATCCATTTAGAAAAGACAAATGAGTTGTAAAAAAAATATGAGAGGGCAGTAATGTCAGAATTGAAGTGATGAGGTAGACTTCACAAGAGCATGTACTTTGTGAGGAACAAAAACAAGGTGGACATATAGCACTCCCTGACCTCAAAACCTACTATACAATGGTGGTAACCAAAACAGCATGGTACTGGTACAATAACAGGCACATTGACCAATGGAACAGAATTGAGAACCCAGATATAGATCCAACTATCTATGGTCAACTGATATTCGACAAGGAAATCAAAGCTCTCAATTGGGAAAATGACAACCTCTTCAACAAATGGTGCTGGCAAAACTGGACTTCCACCTGCAGAAAGCTGAAACAGGATCCACATCTTTTTTTTTTTTGATCCACATCTTACACCATACACAAAAATCAACTCAATGTGGATCAGAGACCTGAGAATAAAGCCCCAAACCATAATGTTCTTAAGAAATAAACTGGATCAAGCTTAGAAGTGCTTATCCAAGGTATAAAGAGCCTGCCAAATCCAATCAGAAATGCACAATCTAAAGAGGATAAAATTGATGCATGGGACCTTCTGAAGAGTAAATCTCTATGCACATCAATAACTTTTTCCAACAGGGTGAAAAGAAAACCTAAAGACTGGGAACAAACATTTGGTAATTCCGTCTCAGACAAGAATCTTATAACAAAAGTTTACAGAATACTCCTGGGCCTCCACAAGAAAAAGACTGATAACCCAGTTATGAAATGGACAAAAGACATGGGAAGAATTTTCAAAGAGGAAGATATTTGAATGGCAGACACATGAAGAAATGCTCCAAATCACTGGCAGTAAGAGAGATGCAAATCAGAACCACAATGGGTTGCCATCTCACTGCAGTAAGAGTGGCAAAGTTTAACAGGGCAGCAAGGGCAAGAAAGGAACTCTTATGCACTGTTGGTGAGATTGTAAAATGGTGCAACCATTCTGGAAGGCACTTTGGCACTTCCTCAAAAAGCGGAACACAGAAATTCCCTATGACCCAGCTATTCCACTACTTGGAACATACCCTGAGAATATTAGAACTGAGGCATAAACTGAGATTTGTACACCAGTGTTCATAGAAGCATTATTCACCATTACAAGAACATGGAAACAGCCAACATGTCCAACCACAAATGGATGGATTGAGAGATTATAATACATTCACACAATGGAATATTATGCAGCATACAGGAGCAATAACTTTGTAAATTATTACCTAATTTGGGAGGGACAAGAGAGCATTATACTGAGTGAACTAACTCAGTCACATATGGATAAATGTTGTATAAAACCTTTATTGTAGAGTCCAGGAGCGGTGGGAGAGGCTGGAAGCAGAGGGATGTGGATGTGCAGCAGGAAGTGAGGATTAATCATTGGGTTGTACAGTTTGATGGGGAGGGGTGAGGGAAGTTGAAAGAATTTGTTCAAATTTATATTTGAATTTTGTAAATAAACTAGTAGGGGGAGGAAGAGCATGTAGCTTGGAATTTTTTATACATTTTTAATTTTTTTTTTCATTCACATTGTATTTCATATGATCATTCTAATACATCATGTTGTTGTTATGTGCCATCGAGTTGCTTGCGACTCATAGCGACCCTATGTACAACAGCCCTAAACTCTGCTCTATCCTGTGCCGATTGCACTGTCTCTGACATTCCCATCCCGATTATCCCAGGCACTGAATCAATCCATCTCATAGAGGGCCTTCCCCTCTTGGGGGGCTGTCCCTCCACCCTCCCAAGCATGATGTCCTTCTCCAAGGACCAGTCTCTCCTCACAACATGTCCAGAGTATGTTAGACAGAGCCTCAGAATCCTTGCCTCCAAGCAGCCACCTGGTTTAACACTTTCCCAGATGAATCTGTTTGTTTTCCTAGCAGTCCCTGGTACTCTCAGTACTCTTCTCTAACACCACAGCTCAAAGGCATCAATTCTCCTTCTATCCTCTTTGGTCATTGTCCAACTCTCTGATGCATAACAAGTGATTGCAAAGACCATGGCCTGTATCAGGCACACCTTAGTCTCCAGAGAGACACCATTGCTCTTTAGTACTTTGGAGAGGTCCCTAATAGCAGACTTTCCCATGGCAATGTGCCTTTTAATTTCCTGGTTGCTGGTGCCAAGAGTGTTGACTGTGGAGCGAAGCAAACTAAAGCTGTGTACAATCTCAATCTCTTCACCATCCATCCTGATGCTGCCAATTGGTCCAGTGGTGAGAATCTTTGTCTTCTTGACATTGAGCCTCAATCCATAGTGGAGGCTGCAGTCCTTGACCCTCTGCAGCAAGCGCTTCAGGTCCTCCTCAGTTTCAGCAAGCAGGGTTGTGTCATCTCCATAACGCAGATTGTTGATAAATCGTCATCATACCTTATAAAATTGATCATCATTGGTCTTGTCTATTATGTCTTTTAAGTCTTTCCTAATTACTTCAACCTCTCCCTCCACTCACCAAAATCAGCAACCCCATGATTTTCCCCACTCTCCAACCTCAGCTCTCCCATCCTTTCTCTTTCCTTCTTTGGAGTTATCCCTGTTTTTATAATAATGGTC